TTTTATATTGTGTGTATTTTACCACAATAAAAAAATTGATATTGAAATTTTCCATATTTACTTAAAATAGTTTATTTAAGAGACCCATGATCATATTCTTATTTGACCAATTAGATATTGTTTCAAATGTTTAAAAAATGTATTATCAATAAACATTTCTGAATGGTTTTTAATAATTAAAAGGTTGCTTCTACTTCAATCCCTACACATCATGTTCTCCAATATCCTTTTTGTTGCTGTTAATCCTCACCTGAGGATATTTTTCCATTTATTTTTTAGAGAGAGTGGAAATAAGAGGGAAAGACACAGAGAGAGAAACATCGATGTGAGAGAGACACATCAATTGGTTGCTTTCCGCACACGCCCCGACCAGGGCCCCAGGATGGAGTCTGCAACCAAGGTACATGCCCTTGACTGGAATCGAACCCAGGACCCTTCAGTCCACAAGCCGATGTTCTATCCACTGAGCCGAACTGGCCAAGGCCCCCAATATCCTTTTATGCAGAGCCGAGTGAAATGAGCTTAACTGAGTCAATTTTTTCCAGTACATGGGAAATACCATCCCATACTATTTACTCCCTGAAAATACTTTAGCTGGGCAAATGGATGCCCAGACAAGTGGTGTACCATGTACACACAGCTACGACTCATTTTTCCCCCTTAGGTTAATTTTGAAAAGAACATACTCAAAGTCTTAGAACACATTCATTTTCTAGAATTATATAGGTTTACTCAGTGTGAAGAGGAAGGAAAGCACGGCAGCCCTTTAGGACCCAGTGGCTCCTGCCCATAAAACCAGGGACAGGGAAAGCCAGACAACTTGTGTCACATCAAATGAAATCTTCTAAGAAATTTAAAAGCTAATATAGCATGGTTTCCTTGTCATCTCATTGGTTCAGGGTGATGTGCCCCATGCCTAGCTGCCTCTGATAGGGTAAAGTATTCCAGGATTTTGTTTTTTTTTAAGCATTCAGGGATTTAGTATAATCATCCTTACTCATGGTTGTGCCCAGTCAGCCCAGTTTCTGTCTGCTTATAACCCAGATCAGCAGTTTGGACGTGCCAAAGACTACCACAAAATATTTGCAAATCCCAGTAGGGGAAAGAAAAAAAATGGCAGAGTGTCTGGAAAAACTTGCAAATTACTTTCCCCATTTAATACGTGGTTAGTAAGACAACCCAGGCTGTGAGATGCTCACGTGCAACGTGCACGCATTCACTCCACCAAGGACTCCTCAGTTGTCTTTCTGACCAGGGTGTTGAGAAAGGACACACGAGGCTGTGGTGCTCAGGCCCCCTTCCAGCTTCCAGCCTCTACTTCTTCTTTTTTTTTTTTTTAATAAACTTTTATTGTTCAGATTATTACAGATGTTCCTCTTTTTTCCCCCATATCTCCCCTCCACCTGGTTCCCATCCCACCCTTACCCCCTGCCACTGTCCTCATCCATAGGTGTAAGATTTTTGTCCAATCTCTTCCTGCACCCCCCACAACTCCTTCCCCCCAAGAATTGTCAGTCTACTCCCTTTCTATTCCTCTGCTTCTATTATATTCACCAGTTTATTCTGATTTAATTTTTAGGTTCACTTGTTGATAGGTATTTATTTGTTATCACTTTGTTGTTCATAATTTTTATCTTTACCTTTTTCTTCTTCTTCCTCTTCTTAAAGAATATCCTTTAGCATTTCACATATTCTTGGTTTGATAGTGATGAACTCCTTAAGCTTTTTCTTATCTGTGAAGCTCTTTATCTAACCTTCAATTCTACATGATAGCTTTGCTGGGTAGAGTAATCTTGGTTGTAGGTTCTTGCTATTCATCACTTTGAATATTTCTTGCCACTCCCTTCTGGCCTGCATGGTTTCTGTTGAGAAATCAGCTGACAGTCGTACAGGTACTCCTTTGTAGGTAACTGTTTTTCTCTTGCTACTTTTAAGATTCTCTCTTTGTCTTTAGCCCTTGGCATTTTAATTATGTGTCTTGGTGTGGTCCTTTTTGGATTCCTTTTGTTTGGGGTTCTCTTTGCTTCCTGGACTTGTAAGTCTATTTCTTTCATCAGATCGGGGAAGTTTTCTGTCATGATTTCTTCTAATATGCTTTCAGTATCTTGCTCTCTTTTTCTGGCACCCCGATAATTTGGATGTTGGTACGTTTGAAATTGTCCCAGAGGCTCCTTACACTATCTTCATATTTTTGGATTCTTTTTTCATTTTGCTTTTCCGGATGGGTGTTTTTTGCTTCTTCATATTTCAAATCTTTGACTTGATTCTTGGGATCCTCTAGTCTGCTGTTGGATCTCTGTATTTTATTTTTAACTTCAGTTAGTGTATGCTTAATTTCTGACTGGTCCTTTTCCATTTTTTTGGCATTCTCATTAAGATCCTTAAAGGTCTCACTAAGTTCCTCGGAGGTTCGTAGAAGATTCTTGAGTAACCTTATAACTGTGGTTTTAAACTCTATGTCCCCCCATTAGTTTGCTTTCCTCCATTTCTTTCATTTGTGACATGTTTCTTTGTCTCCGCATTTTTGGCTGACTGTGAGGACCCGTTGTGTCTATAGTGGAAGAACTGCTGTGTTGGAGACACCCTTATGGGGCAGGACTTGCTTCAGTGGGGCTTTGGTGCTCACTGAGTCTGCTTCTTGAGTGTGTCCCTTATAGATGTGAGGAGTTGAAATCTGGTATCTGACCAGGGGTACCCTGGCTCCTGGATCTCCAAGTCAACCACTGTGTGGGTCCACCCAGCAGGAGCTACAGCGATATCAACAGATTTCTCTTCTTTGTTTGGAATTTGGAAGTTTTGGAGCTCTCTGACCCAGCTGCATTTTGTTGGGTTAGGCTGCAAAAGCACAAGTGATTCCTTTGGCCACTGGCACAGCTTGGGTGGGGATGTAAATTGAGTGGGGTGGGGTCTCAGAGAATCACCAGGGCAGAGCAAACAGCAATGGCTGTCATCAGCGGCAACTCCTCGCGTCTCCATGACTGACTCCGCGTCTCTGAGTCCCTGAGTGCAACGCCCCCACAGCAACAATGATCCCTTCGAGCAGCTCTGCGAGAAGGCCACCCTCGCTTTCTAACCCGCTACAAGACAGTCCAGTTTCTCCCCGTAGGAGTCTGGGACCTCAGAATCTCGTCTTAAACGAGCTCAGTGCATTCGAGAGCTTGTATCCCCTTCTGATTGAAAAAAAAAACGAGCACCCAGGTGCAGCCACCTGGCGCCCGCCTTTGTACATCTGTTCTTGGTGCCTCTGCACCTCCTACTCAGTCTCAATGCACTTCTTTCTTTCCTTCTAGTTGTAGAACTTCCACTCGGCCAGCTTTCCCGTGGTTCTGGATGATAGCTGTTTCATCTTATAGTTGTAGTTTCAATGTTGTTGTGGGAGGCAGCACGCATAGGTTTATACCTTATGCCGCCATCTTGGTTCTCTCTCCCAGCCTTTACTTCTGAGCATGTTCTGACACCAGAGAGCTCGTGCCACAGTCCCTCCTGCCACCTGCATACATCGCCATCTCTCTTTCCCCCTCCTCCGGTCATCGGTCCCTTTCTCTTTTCTCTCTGCCCCTCCCTAAAGACTGCAACAAGCCCTAAGATTCCATGCTTCCCTCCAGCAACAAGTCTGGCCTTGGGGACCAAGCAAGGGCACGTGTGTCCCCAGTAAAAAGTACATGGCTGGCAGAGGGACTAGATGCCTTCTGCAGGGACAGAGAGGAAGGTCCCAAAGAGGCAGCTGGTCACCTGCCCTGGTTAGGGACCAAGTTGAAACAAGTTAGAAGGTGACACCCACGGGTGGTTGAGAGCACAGGTTCTCTGTTGGGGTTCATCCCCAGCAGGTCCAGGGGTTCCCAAAGGTAAGGATGGAGTCGGCGAAGAAGGAAATGACACGGAGGCAGCGTTCAGTTGATCATCATAGCCAGGTTCCGTCTTTATTGTCCTGTTACATCTGTATTTATACTAGTTGATTTTAATCCTATCCATTCTATCCCAAAGGTTAGGGCGTTTCTTACCTCCATTCCAAGGTTACCCTATTGTTCTATTAAGCTACAGGGAAGTAACTGAAGGAGATTATCCTAAGTAAAGATTGATTAGCTAGCCCTGACTGGTTTGGCTCAGTGGATAGAGCATCGGCCTGCAGACTGAAGGGTCCCAGGTTCAGTTCCGGTCAGGGGCATGTACCTTGGTTGCAGGCACATCCCCAGTAGAGGGTGTGCAGGAGGCAGCTGATCCATGTTTCTCTCTCATCGATGTTTCTGACTCTCTGTCCCTCTCCCTTCCTCTCTGTAAAAAATCAATAAAATATATTTTAAAAAAAGATTATGTAGCTTAAGCATTATTGTTCATAGTTAAAGTGATTAACTACCTGCCTGGCACTTAGTTAAGGGGTTTTACGAATTTATTCCTTTTTTTTTTACGGTCAAACACAATGATTTATTAAAAATAAAACGTAAAAATGATTTTTGTACATATGCTTCCAAATTTCAGGCTTGGGATCCAAGTAGATTTCATAGAAAACGCTGTAGCCAGGTATCAAGTCCTTACAACAAAGTAAACTAACCCCCCACCACAACCCCCACCCAGGTTTTGGCTACAGAATCAGCAAGTTCACTCCCTCCCCCCCCCCAAAAAAAAACACACAAATTAAAACAAGACATTTTGCTAGTATAAAAACGACCAAGGTCCAAGTAATAATTAAAAAATAGAGTCTATCAATAACTAACACAAAAATGTGTAGGTGGGGCAGAGTCCATCTTGGAGAGGTGGCAGGCAGATAGGGCAATACCCCTAAGGGTAAGCAGCCTTAGAAGCGGCTCCCCCAAAGGCAAACGGGGAAGGCGGTGGGAGGGAAAGGAACTCAGGAGTTGACCCTGGGGTTGTTGAAAACAGCTACCCCTAAAGTCAACACGGACATTAAAATTTTGTTTAGAAGGAACTGCCTCCATAACCACCCCCACCGCCATAGCCACCTCTGTAAGGTGCGCTGTTACTGCGACCGCCCCAGCTGCTGCCTGGGCCGCCGCTCTTCATGGGCCGTAGGAGGACTGGTGCTGACTGTAGCTGCCGGAGCCGCTACCGTAGTCGCTTCCGCCGTAGGACGAACCCCCGCCGCCGCCGCCTCCGTAGGCATTGTAGCCGCCGCCATAAACACCGTAAACACCGTAAACACCGTAAACACCGTAAACACCGTAAACACCGTAAACACCGTAAACACCGTAAACACCGTAGCTGTTGTAGCCGCAGCCGCCGCCCTTCGACAGGCCCTTCTGATCAGGACCACCGCCGCCACGGCCACCTCGGCCCGACCGGGAGCCGCCTCCGCCTCCGCCTCCGCCGGAGTGGATCTCCTCCTTGGGGACGGCCTTTTTCACCTCCACGCGATGGCCCTGGATCGGATGGAACTTGCCCACTGCAGCCTTGTCCGCCGCGTCGTGATTCTGGAAATACACGAAGCCGAAGCCACGCTTCTTGCCGGACCGCCTGTCGGCAACGATCTCGGCTTTCTCCACGGTGCCGAACTGCGAGAAGTGCTCGATCAGGTCGCCCTCGGCCACGTCTCCTTTCAGGCCCCCGACAAAGAGCTTCTTCACCTTGGCGTGGGCACCGGGCCGCGCCGAATCCTCCCGGGACACCGCCCGCTTCAGCTCCACCGTGTTGCCGTCTATGGCATGGGGAGAGGCGGCCATGGCGGCATCGGCCTCCTCCACCTTGGAGTAGGTCACGAAGCCGAAGCCACGGGAGCGCTTGGTCTGGGGGTTCACCACCACCACGCAGTCCGTCAGGGTCCCAAAGGCCTCAAAGTGGCCGCGCAGGCCCGACTCACTCGTCTGCACATTGAGGCCGCCGATGAACAGCTTACACAACTGGGAATTCTCCATCTCCAAGGCCCGGGCCTCCCCCCCCCCCCCGCGCCCTGCGAGCTCCGAGGTGTCGCCGTTATCGTTGGCTAAGGCCTCTTCACAGATGGGGCCCGGCGGTTGCTGGAGCCGCCACCGCTGATCACAGACAGGGAAGGGAAAGAAGGAAGGGGAGAGATGCGGGCTAGAGGGCGAGCCGAGGAGAGACTGGAAGACAACCAAGGCCCAGCTACTGCCACCTCCGATCCCCTATCAAGGCCAGCAGGTCCAGGGGTTCCCAAAGGTGTGGATGGCCTCGGCGAAGAAGGAATGACACGGAGGCAGCGTTCAGTTGATCATCATAGCCAGGTTCCGTCTTTATTGTCCTGTTACATCTGTATTTATACCAGTTGATTTTAATCCTATCCATTCTATCCCAAAGGTTAGGGGTTTCTTATCTCCATTCCAAGGTTACTCTATTGTTCTATTAAGCTACAAGGAAGTAACTGAAGGAGATTATCCTAAGTAAAGATTATGTAGCTTAAGCATGATTGTTTGTAGTTAAAGTGATTAACTACCCGCCTGGCACTTAGTTAAGGGGCTTTACAGATTTATTCCCTGCCTTAGTCCTGTTAATCCCTAACTCCAGGGAAAAAAATCCCCACCTGGGGAAACAACCTTTCTCGGGGAGGTGGGTCTGTTTAAAACACAGTGCTAAGAGGGGGAGCAAACATATGCCATATACGCCAGGTCCCTTGAAACATCAGCTGTGCAGATGTTTCTTCCCTGCAGCGATTGTGTCAAGCAGCAAGGGTGGACTGGCTTCCGGCAAATTCCCCCATTTTTACTTTTTAAATGACAGCGCGTGTAAATCAGTGGCCACCTCTCGGATTGGGTTGTTTAAGACTCGGAGAAGACTTGTTTGTGACTTTGCCAACAGGTCAGTCCGAGGCTTAACCTTATATCGGCTCCCCACAGTTCTCATGTCAGATAGCCTGACTTTGAGTCCCATCTTTGTCGTTTGTTGGGTGAAGGACCTGGGGGAAATTACTTAACTTCCTGGAGAAAACTTCTCATCTATAAAACTGGGATAATCACAGCAATGTGCATATACAATGTGTATGTGAATACACTACTGAACTGTACACATAAAAATAGCATAATTTTTATGTGGTTATTTTTTATCCCAATTTTCTTAAATGGGGATGATTATAGGGCCTACCTAGAATTGTACGGGCGAAATGAGATAATGCCTGCAAAGTACCTGGCACATAATCCATGCTCAGTAAGTGCTGGCTTTCACCATTGCTGCCGTTGATTAACTGAGTCTGACTGGCGTGGCTTCTTGGGCTCTGCCTGTGACTGTGGCTCCGGGCTGTGGAAGAAATCCCTGCCACGGAAAAGCTGATCCTCTAACGGGAGACTCCAGCCACGTCTGGAAAAGGAAAAAAACAGGGCATAATGGCAACATTTCCCTACAGTACAGTTTCCTCCCTTACAAGAAAGGAGGTTGACCCAGGACATTCCTTAAGGCTGCCACACTGCCAAATTTCTGTGACTACTTTAATGACAGGTAAAATTAGGAGCAGGCTCTCAAAGCTGTGTGATCTGAGACAAGCAGAATGACCTCTCTGGGCCTCAGCACCTGCATCTGTGAATGGCATTGGGGGTGCCAACTCAGCCTTGGGAGGCTGCCTCGGATTATCACCCATGGAAGTGACTGTCAAAACTTCTGTGCCGGCTCTACCGTGGACTCACTGTCCAGATGGAAGCAGACTTGGCTGCCTACTTTGAAAAGCTAAATATAACATCAGTAAAGTCACAGCAAGGCCCAGGAAGTGGGGCACGAGGAAGTTGGGCCAGAGGCTATGAAAAGGGCAGAGGGGGAACTGGGGACAAGTTCTGCTGCATGCAAATACCAGCTTAGTCACTAAAAAGTGCCATTCTGTTTCAAAATGACGGATGGTGGCCAGAGACTTCAGCTTTGAGACAGAAATTACCCAAAGGGAGATATTTTGTGTGAATCACCCTTCTCTGTCTATACCTGTCCCCAGGTTTCACACAAGTCACAAGATTTTAGTCCGGGACCTCTCTCCTGCATTACAGTCCAAGAGGGCAAGATCTGTGTTGAGCTTAGCTCTGCACCCTGCATATGCCTTGCCCAGTGTGCATTCACAGAGTATTGGAATAAATAACAAACGCATGTCTTGTGTAAAACAAATAATAACCTTAAACTTTAAGGGGAGCCCCCCAAAATCAGTGAATCAAGATAAACAATATAGGGTGTCCCAAAAAATGTATATAAACTTCGTATAATTTTTAATTCCAATGAGTTAAACCTGAAAAGGAAGAAACATCAATTGAATTATCACGAATTCAGTATTAAGTATAATATTTAAAAAATTATTTAGTATAATATTTTACTGTATTTAGTATAATATTTTAAAAATCAAAATTAATACAAAAAAAATCCCTCTTGAAGAAAATATTGACATTTTAAATGAAGACAGGACTAGCCCTAGCTGGGTAGCTCAGTTGGTTAGAGTGTCATCCCAGTATGCCAAGGTTGCAGGTTCAATCCCTGGACAGGGCACATACAGGAATCAACCAGTGAATGTATAAATTGATCTCTCTCTCTCTCTCTCTCTCTCTATCTCTCACTAAAAATCAATAAAAACATATCCTTGGGTGAGGATTTAAACAAAACTGAAGATGGGACTAGTACTGCTGATTTATTTTGCCTTAGGCCCCAATAAGGTGGGGCAGCGCACTGTGTCCAGGCAAATTTCTCTTTGAGAGCTGTTGGCCTTGTGGCCACCGAGTGTTTCTTCTGCCCAGATGAGGCCTGAAAGGACACTCCTAACATTACCCCAGTGCTTTTGCTATCCCATGGCCATGGCTTGAGCTGGGGCCCAGGAGAGTTGCCTTCATACTGATCTCCCAGCCAGCAGTGTCCCCATGCCCAGGCCTCCCCCTAATCCATTCTTCTCCCCAGTCAGGACACACCCCTGAGCAAAGGTCTCTGAAAGGGCTTCCCACCACGTATAAACCCCATCTCCTGGGCCTAACACAGACCTTAACTCCTTGCACCCCAAGCTTAAATTTTTACTATACCCCTCCCTCCAATACCCCAATTCTTGCCACTCTCAACTTCTCACTAGACCCCAACACCCCAGACAATTTCACCTGTGAGCCTTTGTACTTGCTGTTCCACTACCAGGCTGCTGTTCCTCACTCTTTTTGCCTGGTGAATTTCTATTTTGCATGAGGATCCAGCTCCCAGGTCTCTTCATCTTAAAACCTTAAATCAGTTATCCCCTTCTTAGGATCCTCCCAGCTCTCTGATCTTCCCTGTTCCCAGCAAAGAATTATGAGTAGTTTTCACTTGTTACCTATCTGGATCATATGAATTTTTAAAAATTAGCTTGTATTACTTTCACAAACTAAAGCATTAAAACTAGTTTCAGTTTAGGACCCCCCAAAACAGTTTAAGATATAAGATACAAAAGATGTCACATGAACCAAATAATATTTCACAAATTGCTATTAGACTGGAGATTCAATGACCAATAACTAGTGCTACTAATTTAGGGTACATAAAATAAAACTTAAAGCTGCAAAAGACCCGAGTTAAGATTCAGGGATAAAGAAGGAGGAGGAAGTTCCCTGCTCTTTATGTTTGCAAAGAGTTGCTTTAATATGAGACCTACTTTAATCCTAAATCCAGATTAAACAGAGATTTTCTTATTGTAGTAACTACTAATAGCGGGCAGGTGGGAAGTTACTCTGTAACAACTATGTACTATCTCCCAATAGTTCCATGTGGGTACTGGAATTTTGGGGCAAATGCTTTGTAAAGTATATGATTGTCTAACCCAGCAGTACTCAACCTGTGGGTCACGACCCTTTTGGGGGTCGAACGACCCTTTCACAGGGGTTGCCTAAGACCATCAGAAAACACATATATAATTACATATTGTTTTGTGATTAATCACTATGCTTTAATTATGTTCAATTTGTAACAATGAAAATACATCCTGCATATCAGATATTTACATTACGATTCATAACAGTAGAAAAATTACAGTTATGAAGTAGCAACGAAAATAATTTTATGCTTTGGGGTCACCACAACATGAGGAACTGTATTAAAGGGTCGTGGCATTAGGAAGGTTGAGAACCATTGCTCTGAATGGCTCCATCCACACCAAAAAGCTTTGTAGCATATGGGTTCTAAATCCTTACCGAACCAGAGAACATTCTTCCCAGGTACCCCTCAACCCACAGGGTTTTGCAGACCTGCGCTAAACTTAATTGTGCACCACTATTCGTATTATCCAACAGAAGGCCCAGCTTCCAGAATCAGAGACATCTGCATGCAGGTTTATGGGAAATCACGATTTTCTCTGGGTACAATGATTGTGTATAATCTTTCCATTTTGTTAACTAAAACCCAGTCAAACAGTTTTTGCAGAACAAAGGGAAGGCTTGCCTGAAAGGTGAATTCAGATATCCTACTCTCTCAGGGCAGAGCCACGTTATTAGGAAGAAAATAAAACGTGGCCTGATCCTCCAATCCTGTCAACATGCTTCTGTATATATGTATGTAAAACAGATATAAAAGGCATACACTAAGGTCATGCTATCAAGAGTCAAATACTATAGAAAAGTTTTCATTGTAGAGTAAAAGTCTCCTTTTTATAAAGTAGGAGCCCCTTCCCCACTCCAAGCCACCAGTCCTCACTGTCCAGATATAAGGACTGGTAGGGCCTGAAATCCCCTTATCTGTTTGCCAAGCTGTGTGCCCTGCTACTGGGCAGTGTCCATTCAGAGACAAGGGGTTCCCTTTTCTAATTTGTGTAAAAGCACTCCATTGGCTCTGAAAACCACCTTTTAATGACCTCTTGTGTATCTTGCTAGAAAATTATGCACATACCAGCACATATGCGTGTATATGGTCTTTCCCCCCAACAAAGATGGCACATACTACATACTATTCTGAACTGCCCTTCCTTCTTTTTTCCTCTTCCTCCTTTTCCATTTTTGTTTAACTTAATATTT